TCTAATTTTTTTTTAAAATAAGGATTGATATGCATTAATCTTATATTGTCACGCCCCATAACCCAAATCCAGGGATGCGACAGACGTCGTACATTTGTAAGACGGATCCCACAAATGCACAAGGCTCAGAACTTAATCAATTCACATCTGATACCACCAAAATCTGAAGATCAAATTTTATAATTTGCTCTAATATCATAAAATCTCCAAATACACTCTAGTTTACAAAATCATGATTTATTTCTAGAATCTATATCAATCTCGAAATGACTAGCTCTCTAACTCGTTACTTTCCGTGATTTCTCCGTCCTCGATTTCACTTCCTAAAATGGTAGACAAGGAAAAACTATAAGATAACTCAGTAAGTAAATATGGATAGTCCTTAATTAAACGTATAACATGCCAACAAGTATAATCACGAAAAACGATTACAGTACAAGAACAAAATAGATGTCTCCTCTATAGGTCACGGCCAGTGTTATAAACCTCCCACTGACAGGCTACAATATTTGCTGGTGTATAATCCCCACTAGTAGGGCAACAGAAACGAACCGGTTCTATCAATAACATGTCAACATGTGCTAGCGTTTAACCCCCACTAGCAGAGTTATCAATAACATAACCACATCAGAGACAAAACAAGCAGAAATTAACAGAAAAATCATAATTCACCAATTACTTTTAAATCATCAGTACAATCAATTAAATTTCAAGTAGGCATGCTCAATTTAATGAAAAGCATAAAAATTTCACTTCAAATCAATCAGACTTGTGTAAAATGGGTTTAGTCCCGCTACCACTTCAAAACAAATCAAAACATGCTTTTAAAAACTGTATGGACATTACCATAAATTTACTTGCCTCACTTGCATAACATAGAAAATTCACTCCATAAACCGAAGACTAGATTTCAGTGCTAAATTGACAGAACAATCATGAACCTAATCAAAATATTCAAAGATTAATTCTATACCATCACAAATTCAAGGTGAAACTTCATTAAGATCACCCCTAATCACAATGCTATTTCTATCAATCTCCACATTTGTTCTTATATCACAAACTAAACATTTAATCCCAGTTAATTGTTGACCCTCGGTGTGTGGACAGTAAACCGTGAACAGTACCTTAAACACTAACTGCACTTCCAAAATTGGCCAAAACACTAGCTAATTCACGGGATTTTCTCCAAAAATCACAGCAGTCAATTAACACTCAATCACCTAAATTTCACTTGAATTAATGCTTAAACTTTATCCTAAAGCTACCGGAATTCCCCCATTTTCCCAGCACAATTCGGACACACAATAGGGCAGCGATTAAAAGCAAATAAATGGACAAATTCGGGGGCTTGGAGGGCTGCCACATACCAGAATTCTCCAGCTAAAACCGGAGCTACAGTTGGGGAAGTTACCGGAGGGAATTTGGAGAAGAAGCTCACGGGAAATCCACCCAAAAATTGAAGGAACAACACAAAATTAGAGTAAACCCAAGGCAATTAAAGCTGGAGACGGGAGATTCATGGCTATTTCTTACCAAAAACCGGAGCAAAACACACCCCACAAAGCAGGAGCAGCCGGCGGTGAAGAGGAGGAGCAGAGCAGATCCGGATTTTCCAGCAGGGGGGGAGAATTTCTGGGTTCAATTTGTGTTCTAGAGCAAGAAAATAAGGCCAAAAACCAAGCTTTCTCACCGGTTTCTCAAAGCATGGCTGGGGTCCCCTTTTTTCTTCTTCTTTCGGGTGGCTGCAACGGGAGCAGAAGAAGAGCAGGCGCGGGTCTGAGGAAGAAAAGAAAGAAAGAAAGAGAAAAAGAAAAGAAGCTGATCCTTACCCAAAATCTTTCCTCATTTAAGTCCCTCGAGTTTGGGAATGTTATTTTTTTCTCAAACAAGTCCCTAACTCACTTATTTATCTTATAAATTTTTGGGGTATTACATATATAATAAATATTAAATAAATATATATAGTATTATAAATAAATTTTTAAATAAAAAAAATTAAATAACAATACACTAAGTTACAATATCACATAATATTGTATCATTATTTAATGTATTGTTATTTAATATATCAATATTATATGATATTGTAATTTAGTATATCATTATTTAATTTGTTTTTATAAATAAATTTTTAAATAAAAACAAATTAAATAACGATACACTAAATTACAGTATCACATAATATTGTATCGTTATTTAATGTATCATTATTTAATGTATTGTTATTTAATATATCAATATTATATGATATTGTAATTTAGTGTACCATTATTTAATTTGTTTTTATTTAAAAATTTATTTATAATACTATATATATTTATTTAATATTTATT